GCTCACCCTGCCAAGACCCAAGTTAGCATGTTGCATCTCCGCAACCACAATGTTGGGAGGAAGCTGTCCCTGAAATGCAACGATGTCTCCTTGAAACACTGCGATCACCCTGTCTACCTTGGAATCACTCTTGACCGAACCCTTTCATACAAATAGCATGTTCAAAAGGTGAAGGGTAAAGTCGGGACAGGGAACAACCTCCTACGCAAACTGGCAAAGTCGTCTTGGGGTGCCAATTACTCCACGCTGAGGTCAACTGCTCTTGCGCTGTGCTACTCTGCAGCAGAATATGCATGCCCTGTATGGGAAAGATCATCACAGGCAAAGAAAATTGATCAGCTGCAGATGCGTCACTGGCTGCCTCAAGCTCAATTTGGACAGCTTGCACACCCTGACCGGCATTGCTCCATCCGATGTCCGCATAACAGTTGCAAGTAGGACTGACCGAAGCAGACAAGTTGAGGACACCCGCCATCCCTTTTACTCCCATCAACCGGCCCCTACCCGCCTGAAGTCAAGGAAGAGCTTCCTTCATACAGTCCAACCACTGTCACACCCTCGTCATTCAACCAGAGTGATCTTGTGCGAAGAGAAACGTTGTGAAAACCACCATCATGAAAAGCTACCAATCCCGACCAAGGAACAGCTGCCACCTGGCCATATAATGTGACTGGAAGACGTGGAAGTCCAATAATGGGCTTCGCACGGGGGTGGGGCGATGCAAATACAACATGCACGAATAGGGGAACACTGACGACACAGACACCGACTGCGAGTGTGGAACATCCGTGTCATCTATGTCACACTTATTAAGATGCCCACTCCTAGATGACCAATGCTGCCTGGGAGACGTAGTGGCAGCAAATGAGAAGGCTCTTCGGTGTGCAAATGCCTGGAAGAACTTTTTAGATCAGGTGATGGACACGAAAGAAGAATACAAATTGTTTTTGTTTCTCCATGGATCGACCATAAATGCCAGATAATTGTTGTTTTCGTTCAATGGCTGCAGCTACGAATAGAGAAGGAATGGAATAAACCAATGTTTTTGTTTTAATTGTTTTAAGCATGATTTGGTCTCATAAATTTGTCATAATATATCTGAGCTTTTAGATATTACTGATATTCTTTCGAGATGAAGCATATTCAGTCCAACCTCTTACTGGCGAAAAGATAGAGAAAGAAAATCTCTCAAAAACTGAAATTATTGGCTTGTTGTGATGGATATCATATGAGAGGCTAGATATTTTGGACTGGTCAAGTTTGAGAGTAGGTTGGGTTCTGACGGATATGAACATTTGTGAGGTTCCTCATTCCTTTTATTTTAGTTTGAAAGAATATCACAGCCACTTGGTTCCCTGATAAGGATTGCTCTTCAAATAACATATTACTAACAAAAACAAATTAAAATTACTTCGCACTGTTAAAGCAAGACGAGTACTTGAGGCCAGATTAAAAAACAAATTGTTTCTCCTTCTCTTCTCCTTCGTGTTTTATTATGATGAAGATGAAGATGAAAATGATGATGATGATGGTGGTGGTGATGATGATGATGATAAAGGTGGTGGTGATGAGGATTATGATGGTGGTGGTGGTTGTGGTGATGGTGGTGGTGATGGTGATAATCATGATAATGGCGATGATGGTGATGGGGTGGTGGTGATAGTGGTGGTGTTGATGATGAGGGGGTGATGGTAGTGGTGATGATGGTGGTGGTGATGGTGGTGGTGATATTGGTAGTAATGGTGGTGGTGTTGTTGTTGATGATAATGATAATAATACCAATCATGATATTAATGCTTATAATATTGATAATAATAATATGCTTAATACTAGTAATGCCACTACTACTGATAATTTTCTTTGTACAAAGTCCAACTAACATATTTCCCTATTGAGAAGGTTGAGTTCTGGGGAAAGGTGAAAAGTAATTTGTGAGCGTTTTTAATTGTCATTATGCAAGTGTGGAAGAACATTAGAGAAAAAATATTCTCTGAAAAGCATGGCTTTTCAAATGTCTTCATATTCTAAATATGACATGTAACAGCTTAAAAACGAGGACCACATTTTTATGGGATATGCAATTGTAGTCCCATCTACATCTTTTCGTGTACATTGCTTGTTACTTTTACTAAGACCGGGCCTAATTTGTTATCATTTTGATGACTCCGGAACCTTGCATTACGCACCACTACTTATCATGCTATATAATCAACATGCAATCGCATGACCAGAACTCAACTTTATCTTTAAGCCAGGCATACTAAAATCAAATAATGTAGGATATACGTGTACGAATACCTATAACATTTACTGTACACATAATTTGCGTTTTTCTCGATTGGCCGGAATATTCACATATACGGCCAGGAAGAATGTTAGTCAGACACAAAAACATAGCTATTGGTATTCGAAATATGAGAGCATTCAGGAAAAACAATTCTTCAATTTACTTCCTACTACGGACAAGATGTTCTTCACCCTAAGAAACCAAACCCCAAAAGAGGAAATGAAAATGAAACTTACTAATATATCTTTAATGTTTAGGTGAAAGAGTAATCGGCATTGCATTTTTAAGGAATTCCGCGAAACGCAGTAAATATATCATAATCTTTGTGTTGTACTGCATTTTTGGAAAATTGGATTCGTGGTTTCAGAATCCGGATTTTCATATTGTTTTACTTTTATTTGCGGAACATTCAACGTTCATGTTTCAAGTTTCAAGTTTCAAGTGTATTCGTTCCACATTTTACAAAAATATATATAGACAGACATTTCAAATAGAAATTATATATACATATATATATATATATATATATATATATTCATATACATGTAGAATGAGCACGTCTCATGATACTCAAATCATACGATAGATTAAGTAGAATATGAGGAACCTATTAAAAAGCATTGCTTGTATATTATAGGTTCCTGGTAGAAAATAGACCTTGTAGATGTGAAAACCGTAGCAGTAGAAAAAGACGTAATTTAGAGGGGAGATTTAAAAAACAGTGGAATAAAGAAATTTGTATAACACATGCATTAGCACCTATTTGAAAAAAGAGGGGGTTATTGGTTCAAATTTGCCAACAAGTTATTCAATAATGCCCCAACAACCATTTTTTTTTAATTATCAATTTTCCATACACCGTAAGGCTTCAAAAAAGAATCGTCGACAGAACTTTGAAAGGTATTTGTGGGTGTGTGTGTGTGCGCGCGTGCGTGTGTGTAGGGGGCAGGTGTTGAATGACGCGGTGATAAATGTATAGGATAATTAGCATTGGATTCATTCATCACTCATAAGAAAAGCTTTTAATAATATTATTGCAGCTGAATGAAAGCAGATGTATACCAACACGTCGTCTCATTCTAATAATTAAGAACAGAATATCTTTCAAAAATAACATGTATTTATGGATAGCCATTATATACAGCTGGTTAAAAGACTTCGTCATGCAAATAAAAAGTTCCTGTATATGCAACATATCGTGTAAACAAAAACTAGTCTGTGTAAAAAATAAACACCCTTTTTATTTTAGTGATTGATACGAGACTGGTTCAGAACTATTAATTTGACATGCAAGACGTGACCTGAACTAACCTACTTATTCTATGAAGAAATCATCCATTGCGGTGCTGTGGTTAGCCGATTATTCAAAGGCTTTAGTGCAGCGTTGAATCATGATTGTTCGCTTCCTATGATTTCCTTTTATATATCGTTTCGTCAAATAAATGAAGTAAAGGAACAGTTTTCCTATATCCATATTCAAAGACAAAGATTCGCGTTTCAACAAAATATCAATTGCTTCCCTGAAGCCCTGAAACAGTTTTTTGTTAAGACATGCCTTCCAATTTCTACATTTACTCGTGCTTCCAGTATTTAAATATATTTGTACTGGCTTGTTTGTTTTACTTTGTAAAGCGCATAGAGAAACTTCGGTTTATTATGCGCTCAATAAATCTATCGGTTTATTATTATTATTAATACAAGTTAATATTTATACAATATGATTCGTAGTGCAAATTATAAAAGACGCTCTCCTACTTTTTGAGCATTGTTTGTAATACTTTTTTTTAAATTTTGTCTTCTCTATCGCTTCCTAAATTTTAATTTAATTTTAAATACAGTCCTATATTCAAAGAATACTATAATCCTTATACAACATTACTCATTCGTCCATTGTGCCATTTCGCATGCTTAAGCTATGTAAGGATTTTGTGTAGGACTTCGGCGACACTATTTTTGTTTTAAGGCTGCCCATCAGTCATCCGTGGCAGCAAAGAAAAACAGATTATTAGAAGTAAAGCAAAGTTCAAAGAAGTATAGTCTGAGTTAAAAGTCAGAGTTTTAGATAAGTGTAATGAAGAGGATAGTTTAATTTAGTGAAAATCAGTCTTTCATCAATTTAAAAAAATATATAAAAATGTTGGATGAATATTGTTACTTTTACTGTAAAGAGCTAAGAGGTCTCCCAAGCCGCCATTTTCACAATGTGAAAGCAATACATATCAAACATGTACAAATTAACAAAAGTTGAAAAAACGAGTTTCTATATACGTGTTATTCTAAGCGCAAATGCAATGCAAGAATGGTCAACCAATCAGATGCAGATTTTCATTAGTCACTCCCTAATATTGAGAATTTCCGCCTCTGCTTCCGTCTTCATCATTAGGGACTTTTAGATTTGCACGTCGACATAGTGGACTGCTACGTGTGACGTCCTTTTAAGACCTTTAGATTTGCACGTAGACATAGTGGACTGCTACGTGTGACGTCCTTTTAAAGCACTGACAATACCTTAAAAGGACGTCACAGTCCACTATGTCGACGTGCAAATCTAAAAGTCCCTAATATAACTATGATCCAGATTCTAGACAGGATTGCGTACTCGATCAAAATAGCAACCAATCAGGATCCAGCAACTGAAGACGTATGCAAATATTTTCGAGGGGTATAAAATAGTCGTTAATCCTGTCTAAGTTACACTACCTCTGTTGAGTTTTCACTACACATAACCGTCGATACACTTCCAAGGTTTGCAACACTACATACTCTTGTCCTCATACTATTTATCATCTTTTGTCAAAATCATCGTAAGTGAAGATCATCTAAAGTGAAGAAAGTGGCGAGACAAGAAATAAATTACCATGGCGATTATGCAGCGATGTTGTTGTTTCTCTAACGTCAGGAGTGGTTCCATGGCCTGTGGCATCTACTCATTAGTAAGTTAAACTCTCCCTCTAAAATATCTCACTCTATTTTGTATTCATTTTTGAAGAAAAAATAATCACCATTATTCAGAATGTGTTTGAGATGAAAGTAGATCGACACCGCTCAGAAGAAGAACCGAAGGAGCAGCTAAACGTTCTTCCAACGTTTCAACGTCTTCATGAACCTCTTGAAAACGTTGTGTATTTGCTGGAAATAAGATTATCCTCAGTATTTATGATTGCATGACCATAATGACAGTGAGGAGAAACCTTATCGCAATGAGTCAATACATAGTAAATGTTTCATGCTCTTTTAGAAAAAATCGAGTGATCACTGACGTGACATCTCTGGGGAGTTCAAATGTAGTGAAAATGGTGTAAAATTCACTCACTTTCTTCTAGAAAGCACTCTTAAGTAACTCGATATTCGCTCCTATGCAAGTGACCCCTAACTTTACGCCTGGGGGAGTAAAACAAATAGTGAAAATGTAATCTTTTCTTTGAGACAGTATATCAGTATTTATATTTCTTGTAACATGACCACGCTTTCGTGTCATTTCTTCTTTGATATACCCATCTCTCCAACTGTTCTCTTGTTTTCTTCCATTCTGTCGTCAGTTCTGTCTCTTGCTAATCATCTTTGAATAAGATCCATCATGAATTTATCTTACACAACTATTTGAGTGTTTGAGGTAATATGGTAAAGTCGGGTGATTATTTAGATTTGTAAATTCTTCATCAATATGGTTTTTTACCAGTGAATACCAAATTTCAAATGAAGATGAATGGTTTGATTTAAATTTACCTTTAAATTTAAGAAATGCACTGAATAGAATTATTATAATAACTTGTAAATTCTACCAGTAAAAAAAAATAATGGACAATAAATGACGCCCATTTCAATATTCCTTCATATTTAATCAACATTTTTATTCTGCTGTGAGTGTTTAACACATGACATTACTTTCAGTGCAGTGGTGGCATTTTTAAGTAGCGCTCATTTCAACATTGGATCGGAAAACCGAGAAAGATTGATGTATGTAAAATAACCATCTCTCCTCAAACGACAACTGGAGAACTACAAGGTTATTCTGGGTATGGGCATGATGGGGGGGGGGGGGGGGGGGGTACCAGTCGCGGATCCAGGATTTTCCAATAGGGGGGGGGGGCCGGATATTTGAAAATCGCGCAGACCGTTATTTCAACTCGACTTACCAATACTGACAAGGTTATATTAAAAGCACTGTACCGGTACATACAAGCGGGTACAATTTTTTTTCTTTTTTTTCCTCTTGTCCGATATCAACATTCCCCAAGTTTAAGTTATGTGCGAGCAATTTTTTTAACATTTTCATCAGGGGGGGGGGGGGCTGAATCCACTTGCTAAAATATTAATTTTCTGGGTTCACAATTTCGCAAACGAGCAAGCGAGCGAAAAATTGAGCATTATGTATGTTGTGAAAGTGTTATTTATCCCCAAAATACCCGAGATAAGACATAAAACAAATGCATATTCGGTCAGGTTGTAATTTTTTAATTTGCGGGGAAAGAGAGGCTGTACCCCGCATTAACTGCAAGAAATGAAATTTGAATCCCTGTGGAGTAAAAAAAGAAACAGCTCTAGCTACAACCATGATTACACGAGAGCTTCCATTTTTTTGGAAATCCAGAACAATTAAACTCTTGTGGTGTTATATCTGTGTTTCATGACTGTCAAAATATATTTAACACTTTCTTTATATCTTTACATATTTACATTCATGAATGACTTCATCACTAACGATTCGCTTAAAAATACGATCGTGCCGAGTTGTTCGCTACAACCAATATTGCAATGTGAACTTCCTTTTATTTGGAAATCCAGAACAATTAACTTGTGGTGCTCTATATGTGTTTCATGACTGTCAAAATGTATTTAACACTTTCTTTATATCTTTACATGTTTGTACATGTATTACTTTATCACTCTCGTTCGCTTACAAATAACAACGTGCTCATTTTACTCCTTATTCATATGAATACAATATAAATATTTTTAACAAATCCGCATCACCACCACTGTTACATGCAAGCCCCGCAGAACGTTTTTCAAAGTTAGTGGGGGAGGGGCTAAAGTATTTACGATCAGGTAGAGCGTAGCGAGAGAAGCGAGTGAAGCGTAAATTGGCTTGGGGTCCAGGGGAAAAAGCCCCAGCGGGGGATCAAGGGGCAGACCCATCGGAAGCTCAGGAGTTCAGTATAGGAATTTAATTACGGTCAGATGAGCATATTTTGATACCTTATTTATATCTTATCACTAATTAGCCCAGGGTCCAGGGGACTGAGCCCCATGAAGCTCAGGGTTTTAAGGCATTTCATAATGGTCAGATGATTTAATTGCGGTCAGATGGGCATATTTTGATACCTCATTAATTTTGTGGCACTGGCAGGTCACAATTTTTCTTTCTTCCTTTCTTTCTATTTTAATATCTTACACATACTTTTTTCTAGTGAGGGGGTGGCTTGAGCCCCCAAGCCCCGCCGTTCCTCGGGCCCTGACATGTGCCCATGCCTTGAGCCATAATGTATGGCCGTACAGAGGATTTTTTCATGTTGGGGACCGGGGTAAAATGCAATGAATTATTGATAATTTATTGCATTTTGTTATTTTTTATTTTATTTGTGGGAACTGCCCCCTACCCTAGCCCTCGCTGCGTACATTCATGGTTCAGTGGCAAAGCAATGGCCTCGTAACTGTGAGGCCCCAGGATCAAAGCCGTGTCGATGTGCTATATTAGTGCCCTTTTGTGGGGGCATTAATCCTCATTACTGTCATTTATGACTTAAGGGCGTAGGTCCCCTAGTTGATAAGCATATTAGCATACACATGCTTTGGCAGTCACGCAAAACAAACACTGGCAAATCATTATTCAATAATATCTGAGAATGTATACTATTATCTAGATCTATTAGGAATAAATCATTGTCAAAATAATTCCCTAAATTGGGGTAAAAAATAAATATTCCAACGTTATGAGCGACAGTTTATATTCTCATAGTAATAACATATTGTTTTTTTTTTTATCATAATCATACCTTGTCACATCAATACTATATCACATCGTTTCTTTTCATAAAAAACATTATATTCTTGCATCACATGATATCGTATCTTATAATCAATATTTTGTTATCATTTCGTGCAATGTTAAGTCAGGTGATATCACATGAATGCAATAACATAAAGATATCATATTTAGATCATGATCATATTATGTTATGTAATATCAATCATTATCTCCTTTGTATCATGATATTCATATGATCGTGCTGATAAAGTGTAAATTTGATTTCTTCAATCGTTAAGAGCTCATTTTACTGTACAAGTGTTGCCGTAATTATATGTCGCAATTATAATTTTGAAATATGAATGTAAATGTATTTATTCCTGTTATATTCTGGCCCGTTTCCTTGGTCCAGTGGTCAAGACATTGGCGTTCTAATAGCCAGTGACCCTTGTTCGATTCCCGGCAGAGTCATTTTTCCACATTCGCAATCAATTCCGAAAAGGGATGACAGCAACTAAAAGTATCTAGGAAATCAATGTATTTCCCTGGCTTTGGATTTCTTTTTTGTCTTCGATTTTCATACTTACTTTCAAAATAATCTTTTAACCTTAAATTCCTGCAAAATTCAGAATCATCTTATTTTTATGAAACTGCGGACGTAGTAAAAAAAGTTAATTTCAAGGATTTGTATTTCAATTGTTTTAATCAGCATTAATATACTCTCTTAGAGTAGGTTAGATAGAAACTTTATAATGGAAAAATATGCATCAGTATTATAACAAACTTGACACTTCTGTGGCGTGGGAAAGTGGTGTACCCTATTGTTCAGTGCTATCGTAACCAGACAGTAAGGTGGCAATTTAATTGTACTGAAAATTCAATAACCAACAGATGGAGCATTCTCTTTTATACAAATATTGTTGTATTAACAAGACAAAAAATCCACACTGTAGGCCTAGGCATACATACATGTACATCACACGCAATAGATCCAAGATTTAATACCAGCGAGAGCCCCCCCCCCCACGTTCGGAATCGAATAGGGCTGCTGCTATCAGGGGCGTAAATCCCGGGGGGATGGGGGGGGGGGGGGGAGGCTGCATCCCCCCTGGCTTGAAGTAGGGGGGATGGCCTGTACAAACATCCCCCCTGATATTACAAAAAAAAAGAGAGAAAAAAAAAAGAAGAAGAAGAAGAAGAAAAAAATGTGATGGTTTCAATTTCAGTATAATGCATGAGAAATGAATTATTTTTTATGTATGTATAACTGTATAGGCTACAAGCATACAGTATTTCACCATCATTAAAGGTAATACAAAGTTTTGGTATGGGGTCATGAATTTGGTTCAAATTAACATATTGGAAGCATAATGCGAATCTACAGTATTCAGTGATCGTTGTCGCGGCTGAAATTGAGTCTAAAGTTATGAAATTGTAAATAGTAAACTCTTTCTGTTGTATAGCTCCCTCTTAAGGTCAAGATATTAATTAAGCTATAAAACAATGTTTCTTGACTAAAATAGACCGATTGGCTATTCCCTTCTGAAAATTATGTATCACAACTACATATTCTGAAATTTTCATGGTCGCAGCTACTATTTTATGGCCGTAGGCGCTATTTGAAATTTATCAAAATTTACCGGGAGCACCGGTAAATCTGTTATAATCCATTTTTCTCGAAAGCAGAAGTGTTTTAGGGGCTAAATTTTCTAGTGCTTATATTACATCCACAGGGGCATCCAAATATATCAAAATTGTGAAGAATCACTATCCAGCCAATTTTCAATATTTCCCAAAACTTTGTATTACCTTTAAGAGTAGTTGCGCGACGTGCGCGAACAAGCACTTCATAAACTTCAGAATAATTTTTCGTTATTTTGCAAGGTTTAGCCCAGACGTAAAATGCGCCAGCGCGCGAGCGCTTAAAAAGTGCAATCATGTACAGTAGATGCCCGGCTCCGCCCC